CAAAAACACATCTAAAAAAATAATTTATATATTGGGTCAAAACTTTCTGCCATAAATGTATTGCAATAAGTTCAGTAACCAACTATAAAGACTATGTGAGCATTAAATGTGAGTCTTTGAAAAAGTTGAGTTTTTGAAATTGCCCATGACCTGACCACATCTGTACAGGGTCACCAATGACAAGGTATTTCAAAACACATTTTCCCTTTTGCCTCCCCTGTTTTCTAAAACAGCCGGTAAGTCAGTCCACTTGGGACACAAATGGCTTTTAGCCAATGAAGGAAACTTCATGAGATGGTCCTCACTGCAGAACACAAGATCCAGGGGGCGAGGTTGGATCCAGATCCAACTCCTCCCACCTTACATATACCTAAACCTACCCGTCTCCACCCCCTGATCCCTAAACCCACCCATCTCCACCCCCTAGATGTGGATCCAACCCCACCCTTCTGAACTGAATCTTTGAAAAAGTTGAGTTTTTGAAATTGCCCATAACCTGACCACATCTGTACAGGGTCACCAATGACAAGGTATTTCAAAACACATTTTCCCTTTTGCCTCCCCTGTTTTCTAAAACAGCCGGTAAGTCAGTCCACTTGGGACACAAATGGCTTTTAGCCAATGAAGGAAACTTCATGAGATGGTCCTCACTGCAGAACACAAGATCCAGGGGGCGAGGTTGGATCCAGATCCAACTCCTCCCACCTTACATATACCTAAACCTACCCGTCTCCACCCCCTGATCCCTAAACCCACCCATCTCCACCCCCTAGATGTGGATCCAACCCCACCCTTCTGAACTGAACTTCATGGAGTATCTGCAGAGATGAATGGAGAGCAGGGGGTGTCAGCACGTTTCAGAGAGGTGCATTTCAAAGATGAGCTCAGCTGTCTACAGGACCAATAAACACCAGACAGTTTCAAATACAATCTCATACAGGGCTTTAAGGATTCAGTAATTAATATCCATCATATTGATATTTAGTGGTGTCTGCTAAGGAAAGAAAGATCACTATTACTATTGCTCACACTTTAGGTCCTTTCACAAGCAAACGCAATGTAAAACAGCACAACAAATCAATGCTAAATGATATATTCACACGTGTGAAACAAATATGTTTTGGGCTCAGTGAAAAGCATTGAGCTATCAAATCAATTAATGAACACCTTTCAGCGGCTCAACCATCAGATTATCTGCACAGAACACATAGTCTTGACACACGTACAAAAGCTGTCTCTGGGGCAGTACCTTTTTAAAAGGTCATTAGGTACTGTATCATTTGGGTAGTAATATGTACACTTTAGATACTAATATAAACTTTTAAGGTAATACACACCCTTTAGAGGTAAATAAGGTACAAAGGCGTACCTTTTGAACAAATACCGTCTTGACAATTTTGATACCCTTTTTTGAGAATGTATAAGCTAGTGTGCTCCTGAACAAAGACAAAATTTACATTTAGAATATATATGTTCCAGCATCCCAATGACCCTAGAGAGGACAAGTTTGGAGAAAAGATGGGTGGATAGATGTGTATATGATTAGGTTAAGAGTTAAAGTTTGCAGGAAGGTAGATTCCCAGGAGCAGGTTTGGGCACCCCTCATATAAGGGAAATAGGGGATAGTGAAAGCATGCACACTGTGTGCTCCAGCTCCAGTACAGAGGTCATATGTGTTAGTTGGTGCAGACTACAAAACGTATCCAACCCATTTAATTTCTAAACAAAATACTGTATTTTTAATAATTATAGAAGGGATCAAGCATCTCAAACAGTTAGAAAACCTTAACATTATAAATAGCTCTGATAAACTGAAGAGAATAAATAACACTGGAGCCATGCAGTAACATAAATTACAAGCTTTTCAAACTGCACATCATCACCATAACTATTATCATTTTGCTGTAGTAACAGCTTCATATATGATGTAAACTGAACACTACTGGCTATTTAAAAAATGATTTTTTCACATCTAGTACAGCATCTGACTATCTTCCCCCGTGATCATAATCTTTGTGCAAACAAGTCTTCTAGTTGCTGTTTTAGGGGCCTGTAAACATGAGTACCTCTTGGCTCTATCTGCCTCTAAGGGTATCTGCTGCTAGGCGGGCTACTGAACTGATAAGGTAAAGTAGGCGTTGATGTGTAATTGCGGAGATGGTCAGATGCAAATATCTACTACACTGTGGCATCACAATGTGGAGGAAGTAGAAACAAGTCATTATGAAAGCTTGGTTTCATATGCAAATTCTATTTTTGTAGAAAGGAAAGGGTCTGGAACATACTTTTTTGTAGCGCAATGACCTCTTATGTGAATAAAAATGTCTGTGTTGATTTTAATCTTTTGACAGCCCTTGATTTCTATTATTATAAACTGCATGTCTCACACTGAGTTAACATGTGAATGTGTGATGTTTGTGGATTGTTTTATGCAAACAAATCTGGACCTCTGGTGTTTCTCCCCTGGAGAAAATGTAAGCAAAGTCTTAAGGACTGCTTGAAAATTAAAGGTGTGATTTGATTTGATTTGATTTGATTTGATTTGATTTGATTTGATTTGATTTTGATCATCACAAGACATAAATGGCACACTTTGGCACACCAAAGAAAGAAAAAAGTTTTGTTTTTTTTATTTTTTTATTTGTCCAGTATAAGTAAATCCAAAGGAATTCAATGTTTCTATTTAAAATCTTCAAATATTCACGAGAAATATGTCCGTGTCTACATTTCTACAAAACGATATTAACATTGCTTCTTAGATGTTTTGCGACACTTTCAAAGCGAAAAGTCCAGTGAGTGTCACTAAAAATTGCACTCAGTTTTATTCTAATTGATGAGCGTGAATATGGCAACAATTTATTATGTTGTTTATTGTAAATGTCAGACAAATGTGTACATTTTCAAAACTCTTAATGCAAAAATCCAAACTGATCATACATGTAACACTGCTAGTCAATCTTTTAAAACCTGACCTCATGCTTTCATTACAATTAATACAGTTAACACTTCTTTTGTACTGTGAAACTCTTTGTGATACTTTGTGATTTTATTTTGTACTAACACAATTAAAAACATACTTAAATGTTTATAAAATTAGAATTTTAATGATCTGTTGTGAGATGAGTACTAATAGTTTTGAAATGTTACAACTTGCTTGTCAGAATTGCACCAAAACAACCTTTAAATAGTCTGTAAATAAACAACCTTTACTAAAATATTTTTTTTTCCATCTGCTCTATTTTAAAGGCTTTCAGATCTTGTGCAACCCTGAAACACGCAGTAGTTGCAGTAACCATGGTAACAGTAATTGTAGTTCTGTGCCCTGTGATGTTACAGATGCTGTGATCACATTTTCAACAGGGCCTTAAGTTTCACAATGCTTGACCTACAACCTGATGAACTCCGGCACCAATAACTGTGAAAATGTATTTGCACAACAACAGAGGCAGAACATACACTGTTCATTGGCCAAGATTGGAATAGTTTTATGGAAAAGCGATGTCTTATGCACAGACAGATAATGAAAACGAAACTTTACATTCCAGAATGTTCCCACTACATAACATTGATACATAACATAACATGCTCTAGTCAATAAATATTAAAGAAATGTAATAAGATTTTTTTATAAAATTCCTTTGAATTTTTACCATAATCTGGAGTCACTCCTAAAAGACAAAATTATGAGAATATTACTTTCCAAAATAAATCTATAATATATAATTTATCTTTAAGAACATTTAAGTGCTAATTACGAACATAAGCGACTGGTTTAGATTTTAGATTTAGATATGATGTCACACTTATTTATTAAACAAAAATCACAAATAACAAATAATAATACATTCAAATAGATAGATGATGAATGAGTTAAAGTCACCATTAAATCAAAGTGGATTTTTTTTTTTTTCTTTAACGGATTACTGCATTTTGTTATACATTTTATCTCTTTTATATATTTATCCATGTGCATCATCATTATTATTTTTTTTAATAATGTGCCCTCATAATCTTTCATCTTTAAAACATTATCATCCCCTTTCCGCCAATATCTTCTGCGATCTATACTTTGACCTCTGTAACTGCGCAAGGGCTGGGCAACCTGTCACTCACATGAGAGCGCAACAATTAGCCAACATATCAACAATCAAAAAGTATAAACAAAAGTATAAACAAGGCTTTATGATCTGCTCTCTGCATGTATGATCTTGTCTCTGGAAGCAGGCTTCTATGGATTCTAGAGAGAATTTGATAGGGCAGAAAATATGATTAGCTGAAGTGCAGAATGATTACAATTGTTGATCCATAGATAGCCTACTGTCTCAGACAAAAGCTCACTGTCCTAACTTCCAGTTTAAACCCTTTAGTCTTTGACATCTTCCCGCTTAATTATATACATTATGTTTGTGGGAATGACTTTATCAGGTTTCGGTTCAAATTTAATAGTTCAGCCTCTGAAAACCCCATAATTGTTGACCACTAATCTGAATACTGGAGTCCCCAAATGTAGTAGTGATGTTATGTGGATATGCTACTTTGGCTCTGAAATTGGAAAATATGATCATCTTTTTAAAGGGTTTTGCTAAAATGGCTTTTTTCTGAAATGGTCAGGCACAAAGGACACCCTTTGCTGACCTTTACTCTGGTTCACCAGTCTCAAGCCAACAGTCCTGTGTGACCCGCTAGACAGCTGCTCAGAGGATTTTAACTGCCCAGCTAGGATACACACAGTATTAATAACCTTCGGCTATCCGCTAGTAACCCAGCCAGCCTTGTTGTGTCATAGTGGAAGAAGAGGATCAACACTCCAAATGTGTTGTGATCGAGAGACCAAGACATGATGGTGATGGTTTCCATTTACTGAGCAAAAAAGATTTGATTTTTTTATTCAGCACACAAAAGCCTTACAGTCAAAACAAAACTGTTAAAAAAACTTAATGCTATATAGCACTCTTTAGAACCAGACAGTTTAAGAATGAGATGCAAATGGTCTGTCATACCTGGATTGAGGCGTAGCGTCTCATTGTTGCAGAAGTCTGTAAAGCAACAGTCGCGTTTGGAGACGTTTCGGGAGCTGTAGCAGAACACCTGACCCTTGAGCTCTGATGGGGACAGGCAAGACTTCACGGCCTCCTCCTTCCCATTTATGAGCATTACTGAGTTCCAACATGCTCCTTCTGCCTCTGTCTCACAGGTGTGGTTTACACACAAGTGACACACACACTTTAAGGCTGAGAAAAAAGATGAACAGATTGATATTTGGCAAAAAATAAATAAATAGATAGACAGACAGACAGACAGACAGACGATAGATAGATAGATAGATAGATAGATAGATAGATAGATAGATAGATAGATAGATAGATA